TGTGTGTGTGTGTGTGTGTCATTCAGTGCGTTTCCGTGTGTTAGAATGTGAGTGTGTTTCAGTGTGTTTCTGTGTGTGTGTGTGTGTGTGTCTGTGTGTGTTTGTGTGTTTCAGTGTGTTTGTGTCTTTCAGTGTGTTTGTGTGTGTGTGTGTCATTCAGTGCGTTTCCATATGTTAGAATGTGCGTGTGTTTCTGTGTGTGTGTGTGTGTGTGTTTCTGCATGCACTTTGCTCACGCACATGTCCTGGTTGGTCTCTTCTCGTCTCCTCATCTCTCCCAGACCTCTTTAAGTACCGGCTGGTCAACTGTAAGCTCATCAACAGCACCTTCCTGCACAACAAAGAAGGCTGCCTGCTCAGTGACATCAGCGATGAAAACAACGCCTACATGGTCTACTTCGTCAGCTTCCTGGGTACCTTAGCAGTGTTACCTGGCAACATCGTGTCCGCGCTCCTCATGGACAAGATCGGACGGCTGAGGATGTTAGGTGAGACGAGGCGTGGGTGGACGTGGACGAGGGTGGGAGTCGGTGCGGCTGTGCATCAGCTGGTTTTGACCTTTTCAAATCTAAAAAACTGAACACTGGTTTCCACTTCCAGTTCTGAGTCTCACTGGGAGGAGAAACTACGTTTGTGAGGGTTGTTCATTTCTGAGCCTCATTTTTGACACGTTTCAAAAATTTGTACATGAAATTTTCTCAAATTTTTACAAAAACAGTTGCGAGATTTTGGAACGTGCCTTGAACCGTTGTTCAGTTCTGTTTAATGTTGGCGCTGTCATTTTAAATGTTGCATATAAAAAAAAATTGGTGATAATTAAGCAAACACCTGGCTAATTTTAAGCCAAACTTCGTCACCATTTGGCGTAAATTTGTTGCAGCTCGGTGAGATACGACCCTAAAGAGGAAGAGCCGGAGGAAGAGGAGCAGCTCGCTGCATCGCGGCCCTTAGAACAAAAGAAAAGACACATTTTAGAAGTTCAAATATCCCTATTATCTGAAACTGTTTTACATTTAGAATATAAATGTATATTTATGTACAAATTATAGTTTCAGTAAATATCTTGGAATTATTAAACATGCCATCAGCTTTTATTCATATCCAGATATTAATGAAAGCAACTAAAGATTCTCGTTTGTTCCAAAAACAAAAAAAACATTCAGAAGCACAAACGGCTTCGTTCGAACCCTTCATTCAATGACGGGATGTTTATGGTTATTCTAATAAATTCATAAATAAATTCAGTTTAGAGGAATACTTTTATTACTTTAACATCAACTCATTTGAATCATACCAAACTAGGCCTGTCGCGATAAACAATAAATCAATTAATCGCGTGATAAATGAAAATATCGACCTCATTTTCATTTATCGGCTCTATCGTTTCTTCGTGTCTCTCTCTTTCTACTGAAGACACTGGATGACAAAAGGCTCAACTCCCCAAAATTGCGTTTTTGGATCGTAAAAAGCAACTAAGCTGAGAAGCTAAGCTACGAGCTAAGCTAACAGGCTGACCTTGGGAAAAAATCTCCGTCTTGTTGAAGCTCCAAAATTCACGATTGAAACCTGTGCCTTCGTGTAAAAAGTTGTTTTTCTCTGCAAAAAGAAGCTGAGAACTTGTTTACTGATGTTTGATTAAAAGTTTTGTGTGAAAAATGCTGAAGAGCTCAAACCACACCGAGCGTCCTACATTTTCAGAGAATCAGAGAGAATCAGAAGGAAGGAGAGACAGCCCATGTCACGTCAAGGGGCCTCCCTCCCATTTTTCTTAAAGCGGCACGCTGCTCGCTCCCTCACTATCCATCCTTTGGTTCAAACAGTCTTATACTGCCATCCAGTGGTCAAAAAAGATACTACACACAAAAATTAACCAACATTTCTTCTTAAATTTGACAATAATTACGTATTATTGTCAAATTTAAAACAATATTATCATTTATCGCAATAATTTCTGAGACAATTAATCGCCCAGCAAAATTTGTTATCGTGACAGGCCTATACTAAACAGAAGATTCCTCTCACAGTCTGAAGTCGTGCGTTTACCCAAATGACAATAAAATGTTATTTTTAATTTCATTTACAGTTAATTAATCAACAAGAGGACTTTGGTTTGTTGTAAAAATGTACAAAATCTAGAGCGACTAACTTTTATTTTCTGTCGTAAAATATAAAATATGAACTTTAAAACTCATGACCAAGCTCCCAAAGCGCATGGAAAATTACATTGTGGATAAAAAAAGAATGAAAAGTCGACTTATAGGACTCGATTCGATTAAATTTGAATTGATAACACGCTCTGCGCTGCAGTGATGTCATGAATCTGTGTCGGCCTCTCGTCCCCAGCCGGCTCCAGCGTCATCTCGTGCGTCAGCTGCTTCTTCCTGTCCTTTGGTAACAGCGAGTCGGCCATGATCGCTCTGCTCTGCCTGTTCGGCGGCATCAGCATCGCCTCCTGGAACTCCCTGGACGTGCTGACCGTCGAGCTCTACCCCTCGCACAAGAGGTGGGTCACTCAGGCACCGGCTGAAATCTGCTCGACGCCATGAAGACGGCGTTAGCTCTGCCGAGTCACGACTTAAACGATGTCATACGAGTTGCCTCCTCCTGATTGGTTGTCTGACAGGGACGGATGACATTGTAGGGTAAACTATAGCTCTAATGTGAAGCATTTTATTTGTTTTTTTTTTCCATCTAATGGTTTGAAAACAATCTTACTACATAAAACTACAACAATGGAAATATAAAACTATTTTATGTAGAGATTATGAAATCTATGGAACATAATGTTGGGCAGCAACAGCTAAAATTAGCAGCAAAATGAAATTTTATTTTGCTTCCAAGCCAGTGTTTTGATTTTAGGAGAACAGCACCCCCTGGTGGTTATTTTTAATCCCTGCAGCCTTCAGACAGTGAGAAACTAGTTGTTGCTCCTTGTTTTCATTTTAAATCTGGTTTCAAATAAAGTTCAGGCACTTGGCTGAAATAACAGAATTACTGCCGGTTTGGTCAAACCTTCAACCCATTCTGCAAGTTTTATTCACTTTTGTCCGGTGGTTCAGGAGATGTTTTGCTAACAGACAGACACAAGAACACAGATGCGTACAAAACCGAGTTTGTTTTTTCTTCTTTTCCTTAGAACCACAGCTTTCGGCTTCCTCAACGCTCTGTGCAAACTCGCGGCCGTGCTGGGCATCAGCATCTTCACCTCGTTCGTTGGCATCACCAAGGCGGTGCCCATCCTGTTTGCCTCGGGGGCGCTGGCGTTGGGCAGCTTTCTCGCGCTCAAACTACCGGAGACGAGGGGTCAAGTGCTGCAATAGTGGGACGCCGGCAGCTTTGCAGAGGGCAGAAGAAGTTTCTGCCACACTGTGTAAAAACAGCTGGAGAGCCCTCTGTGCCCATCGAAACCTACACTTCATCTGCGACCCGGATCTGTTTGGATGGAAGCCCACCATTAAAGGTGCTCATTGCAACGTCACGAAAAATCTAAATCCGCTCCGTTTTTGTGCAGAACCTCCTGTCAACAGTGATGAGCTCTTAAATTAAATTCATTTGTGATGCCAACGACAAGTTTTTGTTTGGGGCTGAAAATAGGTTTAAAGAGACTTTTGGGATGGAGACGTATGATGCATTAGTGCGTATTTATACTCAGATTTATTGTGTAATGTATGCAGATAAAAAGATCTGTTAGGCTGAAACGGTGCATTCCCAATCTAGAAGATGTTTGACAACAGCTGAGCTGTTTCTCCACCCCGATATTTATCCGTGTAGTATGACATATCCTGAGATATATTCATACTGTTAAAACGGGTTCTTTCATTTTTCTGGACTGTGTAACATACGTGCAGTGAATTTAATAAAATGTGGACGTGAGACGTTAATTATCTTTGACTCACCAAACGAGTGGGTCATTTATTAACAGATCTTTCTTTGTTTAGCGTTAGAATCGCTCATATTTTCACCTAAACGTCTTCTCTGAGTTTCCCCCACGGACTCCGAGCAGCCTAACGCAGGTCGATCATGTGACCCCCGGTTCTCTGAGGTGTTTTCACAGATTCAGCCGAGTGCTTTGTTTATAATGAGTGGGTATATTAATGTATCTGGACGAGCAGAGGAGTAAACTTCAAACGGCACTGACGCATCAAGCTCACTTTTATGTTGGATTTAATGCTTTGCAATGAGTATCTTTAAGATCACTACGATCAAGTTGTCAATCATTCCCCAGAAAACCGTTTGATCAAAGCTGATTATTGATAGTTGCCTGTAATTGGAGGATAATCAGATTTCAGGGTTGGGGGCAGTGGATTGGGGGGTGTGGGGGTCTTTTTCATGCAAATAGACTCATAGAGAATGACCACTGAGTTCTCTGTTCTCACCTCCATCCCTCTGAGCAAACTCAAACCCCTCTGAGGTACTTCTCTTCTTCTTGGACGTTCGCTCAAAAATGCAACAACTTCTGCGACGACTTGAAGCGTTTTCGAATCTTCGGGGAGTTCGCAGGGACTCTCGGGTGTCGCCTTGTCCTCGTTCTGTTTCTCCCGGAGTCTTTTGTTGGCGTCGAGGATAACTGCCATGTTTTTTGTAGCTAATAGCACATTCCAGGTTGGATTCTGTTCTTGTTGGAGATTATATTCTCTCTCCCTTTAAAGCGTTGGTTTTCATAGCATCAGACGACGGGCGCGTTCCCCGCCCATTCAAAGCACAACCGTTTGTCTCGTGAACGTTTTCTGGAGGGAAATGTTTGGAACCATCATTCCAATCACACGATGCGTCCCCGTTTCCAGTGAAAGCGGACTTTTTTCTCCTCCCGTGAACTATACCGTGTGTTTGTCTTGAACGTGCTTTGGGGGGGTGTTTTGCATGTCAAAGTATGAACTGTACTTGAACTAAACAGGATTTCATTACATTTGCTCTTATATTACTCTGAAGTAAATCGCTGTAGTATTTTAACATTTTCCATCCATGAATAGAAGCGTGTTTGGTGATGGAGCACGTGGCACGAGAGAGGCCTCACCTTTAAAAACGTTCACTTTCCGTTTCAAACCTGCAGAATCGAGGAGAACCGTCAATACTCTGAGATGATTTGGATTCAGCCACGTGTGTTTTTTCAAGTTGGTTTTATCACGAGTGCGTTTGTTGTGGAAATATTTCACTTCTGCAATGTTGCAAATATTTGTATTTGTTTATTTTGGCTTTTACCATTCCATAATATGAGTTGAATTTTAATAGATGTCGAAATATAAACAATCAGTGACGTGCGATTAACATGAACATGTTTAGTTTGCCTTTTATAAAACAAAATTCGAGGTCAAAGGTCATATATTTACAGCACTGCACCGAAATGTAACATTTCCATTTGTTCTAAGTTAGGGTCTGTCGTTTATTAGGTAAAACGCTGAACAGTCAGGATTAAGGATTATTAACATCTAATAATAAAGGCATTGTTTAAAAGTTTTTTTTTTTTTTTAAATGAGCTAAATTTATAGAAAATAACTCACTGCCATGGCACAAAATAATTATATAACTCACACAGGAAGCGGCGCCAAACGTTGCAGCGATCCCTTGATCGTAAAAAATGTTCACAACTGCACAAAACGGCAAAACCAGTTCTGTTAGATTGACTGTTTTCGTCCAGTCTGCCATGTTTCGTAGGATAGTAGCCATACTGTATGTAGACAGTTGAATAAAGAGCCAAATGACTGCACTGAGATTACACCGGGCCCGGTTCTGGACGGGTCATAAGAGACAAATCTGTGGACGGGGGTGCAGCTCGTACCGCTCCAGAAAAGTTTCCCTTTTTACGCAAATTTATCTTCCGACCCAACGAGCGTGCCAAGAGTACCACACCTCTTTAATTATTGCCAAATATTTTATACGGCTTCAGTTTACACATCGTACCACGAATTCTGTTAGAGATATGAATATATGTAAATACAATTAATGTATCTAATAACCTTTTGGCCCTCTGCTCTGCATTGAACAAGAATACAGAACCGCCCGAGCCCCCATCGTTCGTTTGCTCCTGTTTTAAAACAGTGAAAAACGAAGAGCAAGGCACGAAGCTAAATCTGCAGGATTTCTCTTCTAGAAGCACATTAATGTAAAACAGCACAACAAAAATAACATTTAAAAGGTAGCATTCTCAGCCCTATTTGTAAACTGATTAATAATAATCCATAAAATAGTGAACGACGTGTCTGAACTTATGATGCGACGGGGTTTTATTTTTCTTTCACTTGTTGCCATAGCAACAGTGAGTCGTGAGTGCAAAAATTACATAAAGCAATAAGTGTTTGGATCTTTATGAAGCTTTGGGGAACAGAAGCACATTGTTGGCTTGAAGACGACGTGAAACTAAACATGTGACCTTCGTGTGCACATCTCTACAACCGCTCAGAGTTTTTGGGCTTCTGTCAGTAAAAACTGCATCACCGTGAAATAAATAATCATAATAATAAAAGATTTCTCACCCCTGTCACCGTACTGTGCTGTAGAAACTGTAGTTGATTGTTTGTAAGTATAGAAACTGTGGATCAACATTCAAAAGTTGTAAAAAAAAAAAAAAAATGGGGAAAATGAAATATGCTGTATGTTGTCTTTGATTGTGTGTAATTTGTAAATGCAAATGAATCATACAGTAAGTAAAATACCATAAATTATAGTTAGAATAAAGTGACAATGTTGGTTTTGTTTAAAGGTGTGTGAGATTTTCTCTTTGCTGACTTTTGACTGGGTTTGCACTTTGCTGTGATCCCGTGGAGTTAAAAGGAGTAACAATAAACCACAAAGAATAAACAAGTAAACAAACG